GACAAACACATGCAAATTCCCTACTACCAATAGGATGGGGTCTTGATGTGAACAAACAAGATATATTGGATTCCGTCAGCAATGTATTCAGCGGTAAATTACCCTTGAAGTATCTCATGGGTTTTGCTGAAGATTACAACAGAGGAGTATTGAATGTCAAGCAAGAGCTCATTTTGATTATTGCACGCTCATTCAAAAATTCGTTTATTGGAGAAGTCGATGCTCATTTGGAAATCAACAAAATAGAATGGAGAATCAGACACATCGTGCCGGAAGATCGTCAGAAACTGAAGCTATTGAACCGCATCAATAAAAATGCGAATAATGCAAAAGTAAAGGTGGCTTATCGTATATGGGACCTTTATGAATTACCCACACTTCGTGATACATCCTCAGATATTTGGGCCGTGAAGACAACCAACAACCATTATCATCGGCTTTCAAAACACCGACCAATCTGAAAATATATCAAAAGATGTGACGGAATTCTCAGATGCGAATATTAATAATATTCGACTATCTCTAAACTCTGAAGTATACCCATATGAGCGTTGGAATCTGGATTTTGACAAGAAGTTAGACTCGTCGCCCACTATGCATATGAAAACTTCCAACGCAGCTACTACGATAAAGTTATGAGTGAGCCGATGATGGATATTGGTAGCTTTCGCAACAGTCCACTATTTATCATCGACTGCTCCCACCAACCCGATGCTATGAAGTCATCTACTGTCGACATCAAAATAGAATTCGAAACACGCAAGGTGAAGTTTCCAGCAAACACCAAAGTATATGCACTCATCCTACACGATGCTGTTTTGTCTATAATGCCCTAAATGGCTCTGTTCAGACTGGATTGTAATAAGATTGACATGTAATTCACCATGGAATATTCGATATTAAAACACTCAATAATTATCTTCTGCCTTTTATTTACCAAACAATTAGATATAGACAAACATTGATTGAAACATGATTTAATTTATAACGTACACAATAGATTTTAAATATTCACAACACCATTATTTAAAAAATTCTTCCGGTTGTGGGTTGGGATTCTGTGGTTCCAATTGATATTTCTCTATGATATTCTGTGGTAGGTAGACGGATATGCTCTGAAGGAAATGCTTCAAGTCTGCTTCAATTATTAGCTCGCAGAACTCATCCAAATTTCTGCTTCCATACGAATATTTATGGCACAGTGCCACACCAAGCTCATATTTCTCGCTGAGCTCCAAAAGTTTTCGTACCCCTTCAGCATCATAACATACACTTAAATCATAGTTTGATGAGTGAAGAGCGTCAAAACTCAAGTCGGCTAATTCCCAAGCCAACCTTCTTATTGCAGAATCCAAATTGACTGCTTCCGGCCACTCTTCGGCTGAATATTGCATCCACATGTTCGTACTCTGAAAATACACAAAATTCACTCATTAGTTGCAACTCATATGTTGCAAAAAAAGCACTCACTTGAAATTTGATCATGTTTGAAGCACGGGAGCTAATCCATATTTCACATTAATATACCATATTTCTACTATTTACAAAGATATTGAAGTTATATTCAATCTAAAATATCGAATTTTACTAGTGAGCGGGTTTTGGCACCAGGATAATCCTGAGAACTTTGACATATATATGTAAAAATGAATTTGGCTTTGGATGAATTCACTTCGTGAATCATTTCTTCCGTAAAATGTTCTGTGACACGTTTTGGAAGCCATTATTTAAAAGAAGTATTATTTTCCTCGTCCAACAAAACTACTTGAATGGATTTACCATATCGCGTGGATAGCATCGACATCTTAACCTTTATCGATAGTCAAAGATATTAAAGGCTTCTGCTCCATAGCCACAGTTTGTTGAATTATTGCAGGATTGATTTTTTCGATATTAAATTTCAAATGATCCATTTCGAATATAGTGGAATTATGGTATAGAAATATAAAATATATTCACCTGGATTGCTGTGTATACTGCTGACGTAATACTCTCTGTCACTTTGCAGCACTACTTTCACTCATCTATTCGAGTACGTTGGGTTATTCAAAATAATGTGAAATGGTGATCCCCTGAACATTTATAGAACGTGGTTGAAGAAGAGAGGGGTACTTCTTTACCACAAGCTGGGTGTCCGAAAACACTACTCCAAAATAATATTGTCTCAATCGCGTGACGTAGTTGGAGATCATTCAAGGTCAGACACAAAACACTCCCTCAAAGTCACTTTGACTACGTTGTGTCTTGTAGGTTCAAAACTTCAAGAAAGCTCCGTAACTGGCTCGAGTTCATTCAGAGTCGAAGTCGCCGTGTTGAAAATATGGGAAGTTAATGAAGGTCATTCAAAGTCAAACCCAAAACACTGCCTCAAAGTCACCTTGACTGCGTTGTGTAAAGTTGATCAAGGACGTTCAAGGTCAAACTCGAAACAATCGTTCAAAGTCACCTTGGTTACGTTAGATCATGTGATGCAAAACTAGCTCGAATTCATTGGAAGTCAAAGTCACCTTGTCGAAAATATAGGGAAAGAATGAAGGTCATTCACCTAAATGTCAGCACCTCAATGTCACCTTGTCTGCGTTGCCGTATGACGTACGTCAAGGTCGTTGAAGGTCAAACTCATAATACCTCCTCAAAGTAACCTTCGCTACTTCGTGTGACGTAGAGGTCATTTCAAGGTTAAAAGTGGTGGGGGGAGGTTCTGAAATCGGCTTGAACTAACTAATCGTATTGTACAAATATATCAAGTAGTTCCTGCCGTTCATGTGGAATCTGTATTAAAATCACTTGAGACCCATAAAAGTGAGTTTCTGCTAAATATTGGGTCTAACATTTCCTGAAGTTTACTGCAGAATAAGGTAACACCAACAAGTTTCTTGTTGGTGTTACCTTATTGAAAAATTACTTACTTCAACGTTAGTTCCTGGATAGAAAGCTCTACTATACTCTACTTCGAGCAATCTCTGCTTGCTTCTTATACTTTGCATATAAAATGAAATTTACATTCGTTTCGTTACTTTCGTCAATATTTTTGCTTTGCTATCTATAAAAATGTATGCTATTCCTTTGAGCATCCATATACTGCATACTGCCTATAGCGCCTGAAGTCAAATACCCAGAAACCCACTCCTCTGGGCCAAAATGCTGGTGGGAGAAATCAGCCTTAACCAAAAAACATTTCAGTTGGTTTGGATCTGATTGAAGCTTTTGAACTGTGACATCATTATTTTCTTCTCCTTCTGGTTCCTCCGGGTGGAGCTTTTTCGATATGAACTTTTTATTTGGGTGTCATTTGCGTTTCTGGTTACTCTGTATAGATACAACCATACTTTGGGATTTGGCCCTGTAAAGTCGATGTTATCTTCTCTGATGCCAATATATTCAGTTGGATTTCCTGATTTTCTATTTAAGTTGTTATGACGTCGACTGTTTCTACTCTTAGGGCGAACAAAATTGTTACCATCATCACAGACACGTCCAAAGATAACATTAGTTTCCCCTTGATAGATGATTCCATTCATCAAACACACTTGCTCTAGTTCGATCCTACTTGGCATCCCTGTTAGTACAGGTTTTTTGTGGTAAATCTTGTGTTTACAAGTTCTTTGTAATGCTGGGGATTCCTTACTGGGTAAAAAACTAGCAGGTATATGAGCTCTTTTTACAATTTGATTAGATTTTGTTTTGTTCAGTTCAATTTTGTTGGTGGCTTATTTGTGTTTTTATTATCCTTGAGTTTCTCTTCTAGGAAATGTGCATTTTGCTTCAATAGATTGTTATTCTCCAAAAATAAATTGTACTTATCTTCTTTCTCTTTTAGCAGGGCTCTTAACATATGATTTTTCTGTTCCAGGTTTTCACATTTGTTGAGTTTGTCTTTTTTTTGCGTCAATCACTGTGTATTGTTTTTTTATTATTAGACGCTTTATATTAGCTTCACCTGTATGTATGTATGTATGTTTGTTTGTAACTCTCAAGCTCGGGATCTGTATTTGACAGAATTATCGATATTATTGCTTAATCTATTCACGGGCAGATGGCGCTGTACGTAACCTCCTTGATAAATCGACATTATTGCTTGATTTATTCGCGGGCAGATGGTGCTATACGTAACCCTCCTTGATATATAGACATTAATGCTTGATCTATTCGCGAGCAGATGGCGCTGTAAGTAACGTCCTTGATNGAAAAACATTTTGTTAAATTAACTACAGGTCAATTCTGTCAAAAAAAGTTGTGGTTCGCTTCAAGGACCAAAGAATCATTGATAATTTTTTTAAGCATATTAAGTCTTTGTTAATAGTTGTGTGTATGTCTTTCAATTATTTATGCAATATCAACCATCTTTTTCGCTCTAATTGGTTCTGAAGAAATCTACAATTTTCTTTAAAAAAAGTTCAAAAATTCACCAAAGTTCTGTGTAGCAAATATACATTTTTTTCAGCATCTTTCAGTTACTAGTTACTTCTAAAGTTTTTCCTATATTTTCTTCAATTTGTTCCACTCATCTCCGTTTTCTTGATTTAACAAATCCAATACGCCCGTTCTCGATAAGTTATGCATACCAGTTCAATTGTTTTTCCTTTATCTTTTTTAGTAATCGTTTATTCTTGATCATTTCAAACACTAGTACATTTTCTGATCTATCTCATAGGGTTCAGCCAGCATTTGCAATTTTAGCGCAAAAAAATGTGTTTATTTATGACATCACATTAGAAACCTCTAAAATTATCAATGTTTCTATACTATACTGTATTATGCGGTTGCATAGTTTTAAAGATCTTTCCATACACAGGGACAGACAGCGGGAAACGACTTTGTTTTATACTGTGTATGGATCACTTCATTATATCCTAATTTCGGTTATTTCATACTGGAGGTAGACCGTAAGGAACTTCATTCATTGGCTTTTAGCTGTGCCATAGGTAAGTTATATTAACAAATCTGAATTCCCCTCTTACACGAAGATAATATTTTGACAAAAATATAATTTCTATATTTATTTCAAACGAACGTAATACAATATATTTCGAAACGAAGCATTCCAACTAAACAACAATACTTGTAGCTTATAAATCATCTAATGATTTCTCAACAAAACAAAAAAGATAACCACTTTAGAAACGAGGTCTCTTCTGGCAGTGAATTATAACCTCAGGATTTTTTCTTCTATTATTATTATTCTTGACTTCATCATGATATTGTTCCTGTTTTGGGTAAGAGTTTGTTTCATACTCACTTCTGAAATCTGCAATTCTCCACTGCTCCTGAAACGAAGTGAATATCAATGTAACAAATATTAATGGAAATTTCACCAACGTCCAGAAAGTAAAAATGAATTTCAAGATCTCTTTGAAAATATAAAGACACCGATTCTATTTTATTTACATGTACAGAATAATAAAGAGGCCATACAGTTGATGCATATTCTAGAATCGATCTAACACAGGCAAGATATACTGTTTTCAACGAGTTTATATTCAGGTCAATAGAATTTCTACTATTGAAATCTAGCATTTGTAGAAACTTACTAATTACAGAGTTCATGTGAGGAAAAAAGGCCAGAGATTTTCAAAGATGACACTACCCAGGTCACCAGCCTCATGCTACTTATTAAATAATTGCCCAAAGAGTAACTACTCGATGACATTCCATTATTATTACACCAGAGCCACAACGCATCAAGCTCCATGTGAAGTTTCCTACAGTTATCAAAATTAACTATCAACGTGTCAAACTATCTGGAAAGTCAAAATTATCTAATTCACCTATAAACAGGTGATGATTCAGTCGGTTGAAGGCCTTTATAGAATACAGTTGAATTGCATCAGCTTTATGTTCCGATTCAAAGGCCAATATTAAATCACGCTGATAAATTAACATCTTGGTTAGAATTGATTTGCCGTTAGTGAAACCGTGGTAAGATATATACAGTGCCAGCATAGACGCCCCTCTGAGTTTCTCAAGCAACTTGGGTATGGCAGACAATATAGAAATTCCACGATAGTCTTTTACGTTCTCTCTTGAACCATTTTTAAATATAGGTGTGATGTAACTAACGAGCAATTTCTTAGTAAATTTTGATGATGATAGAGGTTGAATATTATCTGAAGCGGTTCACTTGATGTGGAAAAAAAAGAGGTTCTAGGAAGTAATGTGGAATGCCATCAAGCCAGAGCTCAGTTTATCTTTTAATTGACAAAATGCCACTAAATGTCTCCGAAGTTAAGCGTTATTTCGGAAAGATTACACAAGCCAACAACCTGAAAACTTTTTCGATAATTTTAACTAATTCCTGAGTAATTTGGTGTCCTGATTACGAAAAAAAAAATTCAAAAAGTTGTATCACCCAGTAATTTTTTACATTTCACTATTAAGCAAAATGTATTAGATACATTTTTAACTAGTTAAATATTTTGAAGTTGGCAACATTATTTTAATGTAATGAAATGAAATGTTCTAAGGTTGGTAATTCTAATAACCGCCGTTCAGTTTTTTTTTCCATTAACTATAATCTAAATTGGTGTAAATATAAACTCAAATTACAGTATGCTTTCTATTAAAACATTAAAATGTTCAATTGACTGTAAAAATTCTCATAACGGTTTTTTGCTATATTTGTGGTAATTTTGTAATGCAAAAACATCAAAGGAACATTACTGACTAGGAAAATAGTTTACTTTGCATATTTTGGTAAAGAAATTAGTAATCAAGACAAGTGCTGTGTTCCTCACAAAGTAAGTTATGTTTGTTTCGGGGATCCTAAGGAAATGGTATAAATAAGAGAAGATAGCAATAGGTATCCATTATATGGAGAAAGCAAAAAATCATAGATGATGGTTATTTTTGCAGTAGGTATAGATGTTGATGGATATAATTTCAAAAATAAAAAAGTCATTGTTTATCCTAACGTTACACATGCTGCTCGGCCAATAGAACATGGACCAAGTTTTCCTGTCCCTGTGCCCACCTGAGGTTATTGGTGATATTTTACCGTGTAGTCCCGAATATAGTCAAAGTCAATCGACTGATGACGATTTACAGTGTACTCCAGACAATTTAAAACCACAGTTATTTGCACAAGCAGAGTTAAATGATTCAGTGAGAGATTTGGGTTTGACTAAGGAAGAAGCAGAATTACTGGGTTCTAGACTAAGAGAGAAACATTTATTGAAACCTGGAGCGTATTTTTGTCATTATAAATCTTTTGCTGGAAAAATCCTCACTTGTTTACTTTGAAGTAAATGTTCAAGAGGTAGCAAAAATGTATGTGATTTTATGGAACTTCAACTAGCGTTTCCTAATATATGACTGATAACCAGTTTGTGCAAAGCTTATTGGCAAATCATCTGAAAATGGAACTTTTAACGGTTGATGATCAACTGTCTTGCCAAACATGCGCCAAACTAACTGACTATTATAAGAAAACAAGTATAGCTGAGGCACCAGTCAATCTAATAATGACACTGATGATCTTCAAACGTGACTCAACCTCTGACAGATGCACCAAACTCTTATGAAAGTTCGAAATTGATGAAGATTTCAATCTAGCAGACCACTATTATAATCTTCATGCAGTCATTGTTAACTGTGGTTCTGGCATTGAATCTGGTCATTATTACGCACGTCATGAAGTGTTCTGGTGATGTTTTGAATTCATTGGAGCCTCTGGAGACACCCTACATTTTGTTTTATGAAAGAGAGGACATTGGCAGATCAAGATCTTCAGATGATTGGTGCTGCGTTTTTCCAGATTTTCCTGCAGCTGAAAAAGCAAATGCGCTACTGGAATCAATGAAGTCGCCCCGGAGCGCCAATTAATTTTTGTTGTTTCAGAATTTCATGATTTGTATAACTTTCTTCTTTAATGAACAAATAATATATACAATATTCTCGTAAACAATTTACTCAATTTTTTCGGCAGGACGAGAATCTGATTTACTGCCATGATATTGGCAGTCTAATGAATGAATTGAATGAAGGAAACTTAAGAAAATCTCAATATCATTTTAGAGAAAACTAACTATACAGAGCACAACGAAACGCAATTCATAGGCAAAAAAGCTACGCAAGAGTTTATTAATTGAACTTTGATATTATATTAGTTACTTACCAGCTTTCTCAAAGACCACTCCTTACAAGAGGCCATTGATGGTTCTCTTTCAGGTACCTTTGCCATCAACGCTGGTGTTCCAATAATATACATCAACGATCGTTTGAAAAATAAATCCAGTATATTGCTTTGCTAATGACAGCACTCTTGTCTCACCTTTCCATTTTGATGCTCGAACATCAGCTGTCAATGCATAGCTTCGGAAGAAAGGGGAGATTTTATTTTCCATTGGGGATATGGGCTCCAAGAAGGTGAATGTGTCTTAGCATGTCACGTTGGTATAGCAAAGTCAGCTTCTCGTAAATTTTGGAAGTCCATTTCGAACCAAAAAAATTGTACAAATCACAGCACGTTCTAATGCTATATAAAGTTCAAATTAGATCTGCTTTGGAATATTGCTCACATAAGCAGCTAGATTATATTCAGAAAAGAGTCATCCGCCTGATTGGAGAGCCAACCATCAAAGCTACCTTGATAGCTTGGAACATCTATGGATGGTTGAAGACTTGTCTATTTTCTATGAATATTTTCATGGAAATTGTTCGACTGACGAAGTTCATCTTTGAACACATTGAACTACACTTTTTAATAAATAGCACTGATAGAAAAGCAGTGGGTACTAAGTTTATTACATGTCCAGAAATTTTGATTTGTCACACATGTTCAATGTGATATTTTGTTTTATTTACATTCCATAATCTGAATGTTTTTTTATATTTTTATGAATTCCATGCATGTTGTCTTGTTGATTTTGTTTATGAATTGACTAATTTGGCACCATTCATGAAATTCATTAAAGATTGTTAGAGCTCTGTTGTCCCTCATGCTCCCGGTTCTGTGCATGCAGAAAAGCTCTTACAATAATAGCTATAAGGCTATTCTTGAGTCAATAGTCGTTTGCAATATATGCGCAGATGATGTCACAGCAAACGATTCCTGAGAAATTGGTATTCTTGAAATATTTGGATCTCTTCATTTGATAGGTAAAATGCTTGCAAATAATCGTAGCATGAACTCAATATTCAAAAATGTGGCCCCTGGAGCTTCATCCAATGAAAAACGCGAAAACCTTTTCATTTTTATGAAATTCTACTTTTGCCTTGTATTTTCATTCCAACCAGTTCGTTAGAGATTTATAGAAAGAACTCAAGTATCGTGTAGTACTCTGAAAGGCAGTGTTACCTTGTAACGTGACACCCTGGTCTCTTCTAATGACTACCTACCGGGACACTAGTCATTTCCATTAGAGCCTGGAGTTCCGCCAAATGACACCGAGGGAGAGAAGCGCGCGTCGTAGATAGGCAGTCAAGAAAGTTGCATACTTTCAATAATCTATTGGTTTTTTAGTTATTGTTAATAAAGTTTTGTTGCTTTTCCGTTACACTGTGTTATTTATCAACTGTTTCATTGGCAATCGAGGTGATTGCCTATGCTGAATTAAGTTGTCTAAAGAACTGGATTGCTTGTGAGCCGCCCTTCGGTGACTCTTCTCGCCAACGCCGAAACCCTTTACCACTCCCTTATAACTGACGCACCAACTTTGGGCCGTTGCAGATTGAAATCGTTTGGAACTGTTTGTAAGTACTTCCAGAGACTTGGACAATTTTATTATCAGTGCTTTATAACCTTATTCAACATTGACGTCACCAGCGTATGTTCGCGCGAGGCTATTTTACAGTGTTGCCGGTTATATTTTTTCTAGAACTTTTACGTATTTGTCGAACGGCGTAGTTGCCAAACGTTGCATTTCGTCCTTCATCTAAGGATATTCAGTAAACTGATCGTATTGCACTCACCAAAAATCAACTGTTTTCAATTGATGACCTAACGTCAAAAACTTCGCAATGTCGCAGCAAATAATCAAAATCTCGAAATGTCCCCTGAACAATTGCAGCAGCTTCTTGATGGGATGAGGCAGATGGTAGCAAGTAATGCTCAAACACCACACCGATCTCAGGTAACTTTGCAAAATGCAGCAGTAGATATGCAGCGCGGAAAGAGGAGAATGTCGAAGCATTTATCAATGCCATAACTGTATATAAAGAGTGTGTCAACATAACTGACACCAATGCTCTGAAAGGACTTCCAATGCTTTAGACAGGCATGCAGCTGTTTGGTGGCAAGGAGCCAAGTCGTCGATTACCACGTGGGCCG